GAGAATGGCTCGCCAGCATTAGTGTAGCCAGGATTTAGGGCTCACCCTGAATCCGAGAGTAAGTTCAGAGAATGCTGCCCTTGAAGACTAAGGAGGGTAAGCAACAGCTCACACAGAGGGTGCATATCGAGTTCTTCCCGCAATAACTGCCTAAGAGCTTATGAGTATGCTGATCTCATGAAGGACATACCAAAAGTCACCTACTGTCTTAATAATGTAAGTTAAAGTTGCATGCAGAGACTTTAAAAACAAGAACCATCCATTGCTTCTTTCATCCCAAAGCAGTTTATTGAGCATCTACTTTGAGCCAGGCATGATGCCAGGGACTGGAGATACAGCAGTGCGTAAAGCAAACCCAGTCCCTGTCCTCACAGTCTAGCAGGAACTGCAAGAGCTGCTTTGCTAATGTTGACCCAATACTGTCTCGGAGTCTAAGACTTTGGGTTTGATAAAAAGGTCTTTCTGTCCCTAGGAAGGTGACCTCTGCTATTACATTAGGGGCAATTATTCAGCTTCTCACATACTGGTTCAAAGAACTCACAGGACCAGCCGATCCCCTTGCTTCAAATCCCCACCCACCAAAGTAATCCGTTATGAATGTGAGCTCGAAGATACATCTCCATAATGGGAAAGAGAGCCATAGAGAGGAGTGGGGAAGTATTCTTAAACTACAAGGTTTGCCTTCACACTGAATCAATAAACTCATCCTGGCCACACACCCATTGGCCTCTTTGAGTGTGGTGCACCTTCACTGCTGTGACAAGACCAACTCCGGGTAAATAAGTAAAGTCTTGGTTTTGAGTTTGCAAAGCAGAGGCCCAGACACCAGTCAGTGGGTGACCCAGAGCTTGAGCTTGGAAAAGAGATGTGATGTCAGCCGGGATCAATCCACGGATCACAAGCCAGCCCTCCTCTGCTATCCACTCTTTCTTATCCCTCAAGGGCACCACGTTGCTAGTGTTTAACATACTTTCTCATACACACTCGAACAACCCTATGGCGATATCCTAATTCCCATTTTACGGATGAGAAAATCAAACCTCAAAATTAATTACTCAGACTCCCCTAGCTGCTAACACAAAGCCAACATTCAAACCCAGAACTTCAGCTCCAAACCAATGCTCTTTCCACTCTCCCATAGCTGCCTACTTTTACAATTTCAGTTCTTCTTTCTTTTTGTGTATTGTTTCAATTCACCCTGGTGGGGAACTGTCCTAGGACCTGCTGGCATCCCCCAGGGGCTCTGGAAGCAGCCATAGATTACTGACACAGGGAGGGCTGTGGCTACTTCCCTTCCCACCTCCAGGCCCCACCACCCCTTGTTTTGAATCTCCTAACCAGACTGCTGTCCCCAAGCCTCTCCTGCCTCCTGCATAAGAATCCTGTAGCTGTCATGGATGCCTGTGGATCTATTTTTAAAAATAGAGGGGAGCATGTGGGTGGTGTACATTGAGGTTTTCTAAGAGTCTATTAATATTTTTGCTGAGGACACTCGGAGTTTTAACTTGACTGATTTCAAGATAAATTACCTTCTGAGGAAGATATCCTTTCCCTACTCTTCCCTTCAACACTCCCCATTCCCAATACAGGTTTGTTTTTTGGGTAGTGTTGTTGTTTTACACCCTAGGGCTTCTTCTTCCTTATCATCCAGTGCTCAAAGTCAGGGATATTGATAACTAGCAGCTCATCGGTTGATTTCTCTGTCAAGAAGGCCAAGGGGAAAGTGGATCTAGTTCTCCTTGACCTCTGTAGAGATTGGTGATGTTCCTTAAGATCTTTATGCAGAAAGGGACTGCTTTTTTAAAGCTTCGTAAACATTTCCATGGATGGATCCTAATGTTTAAACCTCCTGGGTTACTGATTTTATTCTAAAGCATGCAGCCTACTATTTTGAAGGTGGGAGAATCATCAATATACGCAAAGCAGAAACTGGGGAAAATTAATTTTATGACGTTAAAATGGGTAAGAAATAAAACATACACATGTAAAGTCTTTGCATTTGGGGACATAATTGTGCCATTTATGTTTAAAAAAACATATCTCTGTTCAACAATGTTTCTTTGCTTTACTAGGTCAATGGTGATAAAATGAAAATGCAAACACTGAAAATAAATATGCATTTAAGATTATCATTTTATTAGAAGTATCACTCCTAATATATTAAAATGAATCAATTAGTTGATTATGTCCCAACTTAAATCAAATATTAAACAAAGGCCACAACTGAAATACCTTCAGTTTCAAAATTAGTGATAACATTCCTTTCCAAGTAGGTAGCTTTCTGATATAGGCTACAGCACATAATATAAAGATACCACATGTCATTAGCCATGAATTTTCAAATACCTTCTTAAAAATAAAATACACAGGAAACACAGTCAGCTTTGACACATGTTCTGACATGTCTCTTTTTCACTAGTTCTCAAACCAAGCTCTCTAATATGAACTAGGAATTATTGCCTCTCTGATTCAGATCAGAATAAAACAAAGAGAGCCAGTTTGCTTTCAGGTGGGTTCTGCTATGGTTCATTATAGGGACTTATAGCCTGGAGGAGTCTTTTCCAGTCTGAGCAACCTTTTTGCAAAAAGGAACTTATCTCCAAAGGGGTTATAAAACCAATGGCAGCCAAAATGAAATTACAGAGAAAGGATCTGCCATTTTCCCCTCCAATTCAATAGGACACATTTAGCCTGTTGAAAGCCACTTATTTTTATAGGTGCAACAAATTCTTGGAGCAGGGCCACACCCTCTATAACTCTGTGTGAATCTGGGGATCGGGACGTGCTGAATTGCAAGCCAAGAGACAATCCAGTAAACATGAAAAGCCATCAAAGAGCCTCTGCTTCCCCATCCTCCTGCTGGCCCTTTCTGATAGCAGCAGTACCACAACTCTCATTGCAAAACCCACCCACACCCCTCCGGGTCCCATAAAGCTACACATTCCATTCTCTTACTGCCCTCATCACTTCCTACAATTGCCTGGTCCTTGAGGCAGCGGTGGAAGAAGACTTAGCGTTTCAGTAAGAATTTTTTTTTTTTTTTTTGAGATAGAGTCTCATTGTGTTGCCCGGGGTAGAGTGCCATGGCGTCAGCCTAGCTCACAGCAACCTCAAACTCCTGGGCTCAAGTGATCCTCCTGCCTCAGCCTCCCGAGTAGCTGGGACTACAGGCATAAGCCACCATGCCCGGCTAATTTTTTCTATATATTTCTAGTTGTCTGATTAATTTCTTTCTATTTTTAGTAGAGACGGGGTCTCGCTCTTGCTCAGGCTGGTTTCCAACTCCTGAGCTCAAACAATCCGCCCGCCTTCCAGAGTGCTAGGATTATAGGCGTGAGCCACCGCGCCCGGCCCGTTTCAGTAAGAATTTGAGGAAGAAGCAAGGCTAGGACACAAGCTGCGCCTCCCACTTGCTGGATACACGAGCTCTTGCTCTTAATTACTAAGCCCCAAATCCATGGTAAGAAAGACAAGCCAGGCTACCTTCCCTCTCACATAAACACAAAGCAAATACTAACACACATTATCTTTTAGTCCTCTGTTCAATTTCACATAACAGTTTTTAAAAATGCCCAAATATTCATATAATAAAGACATACATTTTTCCCTCATTGAATTGTCTGTGTATGGACTTGGTTACTAAATTTTAAAAAGGCTCATTTTTGTTTTAATTGTACTGCAGTTCTCAAACCTCTCAAAAAGACACACATGCAATTTTGGAATATCTGGATACTTGTAAAAACTGCATCTGCCTCACCAAGGACTGCAGAAAAATCACTGAAGGCTTGGCCTTCTCACCCCTGGGACCTTCACCCCATACTGCCTGGGGTTAGTCCAGGACCCTGTGCCCGCCCTGTCTCCAGTGGCCCTAGGTCGGACCTTGCACCTGGCCAGGCCAGCTGGCTCCATGGGAGCCTCTGATGAGCAAAGGGGGTCTATCCCATTCAAACTCAAAGCACTTGGGTAGAACGGACCTTCACCGGAAATGTGGAGCCAGCCCGTTGGTTCATTCTGTCAGTATCCATGTGAGGAAGATAGAAAAATGGCAAAGAGACATGTGAAAGCCCCACTGGCTCTTTCAGACATGCCTGACGTGGTTACAGGACCCAGTAAGTGGCTCAGTGGGGAAATGTCAGGCACCACAGGAGTCACCAAGGCTCCCCTTTGCTTTGACACCAAGGGAAAGGAAAGGAGAGACTCCAGTGCAGTTTTATAATAGAATCTTCGAATTTTTCCTCTGAAGTTGCTTCAGGATAAGAGTTAGAATGCATAAATTGCCAAGATGACTTAACACTGGTTGCCCAATATGCTGTTCTTAATCATGTTGATCCGTTCACTCCAGATGCCGCAGCAGCACACCTTGCTCAGAGTGGATCCTCGGAAAATATGAGATCCCAGTTGAGCATTAACATTCCTTCTCCTACGTGGCCTTGAATAGCCCCCTCCTCCAGCAGCAAAGGTCTGAGTAAAGGTGTAGCAGTGAAAATGAGTCTCCTTACAGAAGAAATGACCAAAAAAGACACATTTAAATCACCATTAGCAGATACGATTACATCTCAGATCAAAAAGCTGCAGCAGAACATGCTCAGCTCTGACTCCTCCACTGAGCGGCTGGGTGATTTGAGCACATCACTGCATCCCTCTGGGCTTTGCTACCCTCATCTTAAATGGGGGCAGTACCAGATGAGTTCTCAGGTTCCTCCCAAACAAGTCCACTCCCACTCCCCACTGCCCCTGTGGCTCTGTAGCTGGGTTTACCCTGGAGTCCAATTTGATTCGGCCCTGGGGTCCCATTCCAGGAGGCCAGTGCTTCCACATTAGTAACTGGATTTACAAGGAGAAAGAAAGGTGATATTTTGAATAGCCCTGGCATAAACAAGGGTCCGTGTTAAACAAGTATTACTCTTCATATATTAATACTGATAAGTAGTCAAAATCCTTAATGAAAAGAGGATTTAAAACAAAATAAAAACACACAATAAGTTTCTTTCTCTTTAAAGGAAAATTGCCAAGGATGCAGAAGGAAATGAAGATGATCAAAGATGAGGATGTGCATTTCAACCTGGGTGTGAAGAGGACCCCCTCCTTTCCCCACTGCCTGCAGCCAGGGGCTTCCCGAGGGAAAGCTCCCCCAAGACATCCCTTCCCAGAAGCTCTCCGGGGACCCTTTTCCCAGTTCCGGTATGAACCTCCTCCAGGAGATCTAGACGGATTCCCTGGGGTCTTCGAGGGAGGTGGGTCTCGGAAACGGAAGAGCATGCCCACGAAGATGCCCTACAGCCACCCTGCAGAAGAAGCCACTGTCGCCCTCCACTCTGAGGAGAGCAAAAACCACGGCCTTCCCAACCTGCCTTTGCTGTTCCCGCAGCCCCCGCGCCCCAAGTATGACTCTCAGATGATCGACCTGTGCAATGTGGGCTTCCAGTTCTACCGCAGCCTGGAGCACCTGGGGGGCAGGCCCGTCAAGCAGGAGCCCATTAAGCCCAGCGCCGTGTGGCCGCAGCCGACACCCCCGCCGTTCCTGCCCACGCCCTTCCCCTGCTACCCCAAAGTCCACCCGGGCCTCGTGTTCCCCTTGTTCGTGCCCTCGGCCTCGCCCTTCCCCTTCAGCCGGCACACCTTCCTGCCCAAGCAGCCCCCGGAGCCTCTGCTGCCCCGCAAAGCCGAGCCCCGGGAGAGCGAGGAGACCAAGCAGAAGGTGGAGAGGGTGGACGTGAACGTCCAGATCGACGACAGCTACTACGTGGATGTGGGCGGCGCGCAGAAGCGCTGGCAGTGCCCCACCTGCGAGAAGTCCTACACCTCCAAGTACAACCTGGTGACGCACATCCTGGGCCACAGCGGCATCAAGCCGCACGCGTGCACCCGCTGCGGGAAGCTCTTCAAGCAGCTCAGCCACCTGCACACCCACATGCTGACCCACCAGGGCACGCGGCCCCACAAATGCCAGGTGTGCCACAAGGCCTTCACCCAGACCAGCCACCTGAAGCGCCACATGATGCAGCACAGCGAGGTGAAGCCGCACAACTGCCGCGTGTGCGGCCGGGGCTTCGCCTACCCCAGCGAGCTCAAGGCCCACGAGGCCAAGCACGCCAGCGGGCGGGAGAACATCTGCGTGGAGTGCGGCCTCGACTTCCCCACCCTGGCCCAGCTGAAGAGGCACCTCACCACGCACCGCGGCCCCATCCAGTACAACTGCTCTGAGTGCGACAAGTCCTTCCAGTACCCGAGCCAGCTGCAGAACCACATGATGAAGCACAAGGACATCCGGCCCTACATCTGCTCGGAGTGCGGCATGGAGTTCGTGCAGCCCCACCACCTCAAGCAGCACTCCCTCACCCACAAGGTACTGCGGGGCCGCCGGGACACCCGCGCTGCTCCCCGCCGCTGACCCAGAGGAGCTCTCGCCCTGGACACGTGGCTTCCCTTACCCCAGCCCTGAGGTCCTTCCTTACCTTTAAATAGGGGGAACGATGAGACGAGAGACCATACATCAAACCCTTTCCCCAACCAGCCTTCCAGAGTCTAAGGCAGCCTAGAGATAAATAATGCAGACATTTGCAGAGGAGGGTGAGGAAGGATGAAGGAAACAGTTGCTTGTTGTGCCGTTGTTTCCCAGCCCCCCGGGAATCCCTACAGTTCAGTTTCTAGAAACTTCATCCAGGGCACTAGCACAGATCACCTCTGTGCTTGGGATGTAGTGAGAGCCTTCTTTTAGAGAATTCTCTTGGTCTTTTGCTGTCTAAGCAATGGCTACCTTTGGTTTGTTTTCTCCCTCAGCTATGAGACCTGCCTCTTATGCAGGGTCTCTGAGGGGAGCAGAGCTTGGCCAAGTCCGGCAGGGCCTGTGCTTCCCTGGGCTGAGCCCCTTCGTGGTTGGGTTCAGTGTCTTGTGATTTGTATTGTAGGAGGCAGGAGAAAGCATTCTTCTCTGTTTTTGGCTTGGTTTTATCTTCCCTACACTCAGGTCTTCTAGGAGAAATACAGGCCCAAGAGTCTTGAGTTTAACCTAGTTTGCAACCAAAGCCCTGGAGTCATTCAGGTTGAATTAAAACAAGGCCCTAGTGGTATCCCTGAAATCTTACCCCAGCTAAGCTGACTTCGGTCTGCTTTGAGCTTCCAAGACAGGAGTCTTGCCCCACTAACCCCTACCCTCCACCCTTGACCTCAAGTGGTTTGCTTTGCAGGAGAGAATTTTAGCAAGCCAGAGTTTCTAAAACATTCTTTAATTCTGAAAGGTCAGCGGAGGACTTTGCCCAACCAAGATAATGTTTCTGCTCTGCTATAATGAGTTTCATTCATTAGGTTAGGACAAAACACTGGGCATTTTTCTGGCTCTGCAGCAGAGATGAAGTGTGTGGCCTGCCCTATAAAAGGCACCTGTAGATACCATTTAGGGGGCAGTGCCTATCGCCTGCAGGAACCATCAACAAAGGACCTAGACTGAGATTCAGCCACAAAGGGGACCATTCACTTATTTCAGGGGCTCCTGCCTATGTGGAAAAGGAATCAAAGGTGCCTTTTAGAACATGTAAGATTCTATGAGATAGTAGAAAATGAAGTCAAAATGGAAGAAACAGCCTGTTGTCTAAAATAAGTTTCATTCGAATTAGGAAAATTTGAATTAGTAAAAATACATTTTAACTAGAGGTGTCAGCCTGAGAGGTAGTATTTATTGAAAACTTACTGTATGGCAGCTGTTTTATTTTCCATTTAATCCTCATTTGCTTCTCAAAGCTCTAAGGGCTACTCCTGATTTGCAGATAAGGACACCAGGGTATGGTGAGGTCACTCAGGGGTCTCTGACACCAGCACCTGAGTCTTGAACACTCTACAATCGAGATGTCCCTTCTTCCACCCCCATAGGCTCCCGCTCTGTGATTTCACTGATCCTATCAGAGAAACAACAGCTTCTTTTGTTGCCCCAAAGTTGTGTCCAGGCCCTGTTCACCTGCATTCTAGGCCAGCCCACATGTGAATCCTACTTTGGATGCACAAGTCTCTTTAAAGAATTCCAAAAACAGTGATAAGTAGAGATTTCTCCTTGGTTTTCAAGACACCTGGATCATTGCTAAGCCCAAAAAAAATCTTGAGAGAAGAAATTTTGAAACCCATTAAGAAAATATATTTCATTAATTTTACAATTTTAAACTCACTGTTAGAATATGCACTGCATTTTAAAAATTCATCTTCTTAGGGGGGGTATTAAATTTAATTTTTGAAGGAGGTTGATTTCTAAATCTCTTCCTTAGTATAAATCCACACTTACGTGCAATCATCTAGACTACAGAGTGTTTGACCTGGAAAGAACCCCTTAGTTGTCACAATCCACCACTTCCATCTTGAGATGAAAATCCTTCACCAGGAAAGGCTGCGGAACTGATCTAAAGCTTTGCAGCCAGTAAATGGCGGGGCAGAGACCTGAATCCACCCTTTAGTGCCCTGGGCTCACCAGAACTGAGGAATGGCACTTTTTTACCATGCCTCAAATTAAAGAAATGGAAATACAGGCAGAGAGACTCAGAGCCGAGCTCGGAATCCTTCCCTCCTTAGCCACTACGGATATCAGGCAATATAAGTTTTATAAGGTACAGTTGTTAACAAAGTAACTTGTCCTAATCCTGGAATAACCTTCATTTTAGTGTCCTGGTTCTCTAAGTTTTTCTTCCCCAAAGTCATTCTGGGTTAAGATGTCTTACAAAGACCTTTTCAGGAAAGTGGTGATTAATCAGGGTTAGCGAGTACTCTATTCGAGCCGAGTCCCTGGAAGTGCTCTCAATGGAGGGCATTGATGCTAAAGTATCAAACACTCCTCTCCACACAGCAAGGAAGCTAAAAAACCTCCCGTCCTGTTTTCTAGTTCAGACAGCTATCTCCTGCCAAATTTCTCTGTAGAAAGTGGCTGGCTTAGCGGAGGCTCTATAACCATGCCACACACAGGTCAGTATGGCCTGTGGGAACCCAGGGGACCAACTCAAGAGGGTGATTATCAAGTTATAATTTACTGAAGTGTGGATATATATCCTTTGTTCTTCTGGGATTTTCAGTGCCGCTAATGAGAACTCAAGAGGGCATTGGTTTTCAGGAGGGAAATGATAATAATCAGTTTAGAAGATTTTACTTTTTTCATTATCGTGAAAGCTGGATTATAGACTCATTTTGCATATCATTCTACAGTGCACTTACCAAAATCCTATTAATCCCCAAGAACTATTACTGTAGAATTAACCCCAGCAGCAGCAGGAACAGCGAAAGCAATAGCAAGAGCCAGCTCTAGTAGTCTGGCTAGTTTATGGTTTTCAAATGAAAAAAAAGAAAGATTATATAATCAATAGTTTTCAAGAAAATAGTAATTTAACAAGGCTAAAGCTTCACCATTTGAAGCTCTACATCTATCACCGAGCCGTTTTTGGATTTAGGTGGCGTAGAGCAAAACGAAGCCTGTAACCCCAGTGAAAGTGTGTTTCCTGTCAGCCCCCCCTTTTCTGAATCCTGTCTCCCTGCAGGGCGTAAAGGAGCACAAATGTGGGATCTGCGGGCGGGAATTCACCCTGCTGGCCAACATGAAGCGACACGTGCTAATCCACACCAACATCCGTGCCTACCAGTGTCACCTCTGCTACAAGAGCTTCGTACAGAAACAGACCCTCAAGGCGCACATGATTGTCCACTCGGATGTGAAGCCTTTCAAATGCAAGGTGGGCAGCGGCCCAGGGAGGACCCAGAGGGTTGTGCAAATGAATGATGGGGAAAGGTCCCCAGGGAACCTTCCACTTTACTCATCAGTGGGGCTGCCGAGGCTCAGAGTGGGTCCACAGCCAGCCCCAGCTCCCATCTGCTGCTCTGTCCCTCTGGCCACCACATCCGTGCTCAGGCCAGCCTGGTCCCTGAGTGCTCAGGGGTGGAGGCAGGCAGTAGGGGAAGGCCTGAGAGTTGGGAGACCCATTTGGAGATGAGGTTGTTAAAGGATGAAGGTGATGTGGAGAGCTCTTGCTCTAGATAGGACAGACCGGGTGTGGCCCTCTTCCCCTTGCAAGTCAGTGAGTAGGACACAGAAAGGAGCTAGAGAAGCTTCCAGCACAGTCCCTTCTCCTTTCCCCTCCTCCCCTCCTTCCCTCCTGACACTTGGGCTGAGCCATAGGTATATGTGAGGGTAGGCTGCCCAGAGAGGACAACAGGCATTCCGAAGCTAGCCCCTCGGAGGCCCTCAGAAATGCCTGCTTGGGCCGTGGCATAACAGCAAGCACAGTCATTTGAAGTGTTTGTCATTTGTGCCTAAGTACCTTGTAGCACAGAGATGGAGCATCTTTGTTAAAGTCTGTGTCAGACTAACTTGGTTTGGTTGGGTTCTCTTTTCATCAGCTGAGGAAACGTGTGAGCTGGAGATGTGCAAAGCCCCAGGCACCGCCCGGGCATTACTCAGAAATGCTCGGGCTACTCAGGGCTGTCCCCACACCCCAACATTGCTTCCCTTCTCCACCTCTGCAATGAGGAGGAATCTTGCTTGTGATTGGGTTTAATTCAAGTGATGTATAGGCCATGTCGCCCGGTCATGAAGAGGGCTGAGGGGGGAGAAGAGGGAAAACACCACATTCAGATGGCGTTAGAACCCATCTGCTCAAACTGCAAGTTTTCTTTCTCTCGCACTGTGCATCTGACGGGTCCAAATGCTGTTCTCTGCTGATCCATATTCCTGAAGCCGGGTTCCCTGCTTCCAGGGGCTGTTCCTGCTGTAATCTCTGCCATGTGTCCCCGCTGAAGGAATCCCCTGTGAAGCTGACTTCTTTCCTGTGTTGGCAACTCTTGGATGGGGTGAGGGGTCAGCGAGCAGAGCTTCCCTAGACCTGTGCGGGCATTGTCCGGAGGGGGGAGAGGGAGGTTTCTCCCTCCAGCCCTTTTCCTGCCACCCACTTCTGTTTCCCCTCCTTTTCTTCAAGTTTCCAGTGGCTTGAAAGTCAATTTATGTCTATCTAAAGGGGGAGTAAGCTGCTGCACGCAGGATGGACTACATAATTTTCAGGGCCTCTGCAAAATGGAAATGCAAGGCCCCATGTTCCAACATTATTAGGAATTTCAAGATGATGAAAGTGGAGCATTCAACCAAACTGAAGACCCTCTGAGTATGGGTGCTGTGCCGCATACCCATGCAGCCAGCCCTGGCTGCACTCTACAGAACACCACTTCTTTCTCTCTTTGGGTACTTCTTTGATTTCTTTCCCACATCATTGAGTCCCTAGAGCACTTCACATTTAACAGGGCTGTTCCTTCCTGCAAGGGGTTTAATGTTTCCCACAATGGAGGTGCAAGCAGGTCTCTTTGCTATTCTTCATTCCTTGTGTTAAGTTTCTTCTTGAGCTTCAAGCATGAACTGTGTTTTTCATCTCATGGACTGGTGATGGAGTAAAGTTGTTAAAACATGAAGGGAGCCATCAGCATAGTTTATAGTCCCCTAAAAATCCACCCCTCTCCAGTCCAGCCATCTCCCACCTCCACTTCATCAATTCTGGTCCAGCAATAAGTGGTACAACCAGGCGGAAAATGTCCCTGAAATGGAGGGATATGTCAGGGGGCAGAGCCAATGCAGGCTGTGTACGATTTGGGGGCACAGAGGCAGTTCTGCTTCTCTACCCTCAGGGGGCCTGGAGGATTTCTTGGCCAGGTAGTATCTGAGGATCTAGAGGGTTCTCTCTATTACCAGTGCACAGAAGACTGCACAGTGTGATGCAGCCTGGGCCCTAAGATGCAGTGAGCCATGCCGGCTTGATGCTTCAGGTCTCCCTTCATGAACAGCGCCCCGCCTCATGCACCCCAATGGTGGTGCACCGTACATGGCTCAAAGGGTGTCTGGTGGTCAGCTTTACAGTTCAGAAACTCCATTTTACCTCTTCTTTGAGAGTTGATTAGGCTCCAGATGTCTGGTCCACACCATCAGAACCCATAAGAGGGTAGTGTATAGGAGTTTATAAAGGAGAATGCCAGCTTTGAAACAATGCACAGTTTATATGTTACAATGGGAGATGGGCCCAGCACAGGAATTGGACTGGTCATTCGCAAAGGTCACTTCTTCCTGGTGCGTAAGTCCTCTCAGGAGACCCCACTATAGGTCAGGAGGCTGCCTAGAGAGTGTGATCTACCATTAGACAAAAAGAATTGGATGTGAAAGGGCATTCTTGTCAAACTTAGGTGGCCCTTCTTTGTTCTCAGACATTTCTGAAACAAGAATGGGTATCAATCACCTCGATCTAGAGCCCTCTGTCTTCTACAAAGAGCCAAAGGCATACTGCCAGGTTCTTCCTCTCCCTGTCCCTATCTCCCTGCAAATGTCACCCTGCTTGGTGTCCTCTTTGTACCATCATCCTTCTTCATTTCAAAAGACTTTCAGAGCAGGTCTGAGTTCCCAGATTAGGTAACAAGGCTCTTTGTGTTTGTAAACTAGCTCCAGATCCCACTGTCGGGTGGGCCATCTCGAGATGGTATCCTGTGGACCTTACTTCCCATCCATGCCATGCTGGATTCTTGGAAATCTAGCCCTGGGTGACTGTTGCTGGGGGCGTGGGATTCGGAAGAAGGATGGAGGGCCATGTGCTTATCTCTCATGGCTCATGGTCACCCGAGATCAATGGTTGGCTGGCTGCTCAATGATGTTGGAGAACAGGCCCAGATGACTGAATTGAAGCTTTATTGTGGTAACAGGGAAGAGTTATTCACTTCCCACCATTGAAATGGCTGGACAGAAGAGGCAGGCCTCACTCCAGACTCACTCCAAGAGCTAGCTCTACCTCCTTTACCCAAAAACTCACATCAAGCAAGATTCTTTTAGTAACAGATTCTAATTTCTTGGAATTCTCACCATTAAAATTTCTTCCTCACATAAATCCCACCTCCTGTTGCAACATGAACTGGTTCTTTCCAGCCATGTGCTCAGTGGAAACAGCTGTCTCTAGCAAGCAGAAATGTTCTCTCACTGTGGGCTTAGGCATTAACAATAGGATGGAAAATTAGAGGAGCAGAAAGGTTTCCATTCCATGTTTCTTTTTTCTTTTTTTTTTTTTCCCTTATAAAACAGTTACTGCCCCTCTGGGCTCTTTTGCTATTGGCTCTACTTCTGGGCTCCTTGATTTTCGGAGCCAGCTGGAATGTTTCCACAGACCTGTGCCTGTAGACTGAAGCCACTTTTCAGAAATCTGCCTCGCAGATTCTGGGTCTGCACTCCTGGGTTGATTCGGGTAGTACCCTTGTAGCGGCCGCACTCCTTAACAGCAAAGAACCAGCTGCCGTCTTTGGGAAACCTGTCCAGGAAAAGCAGCAGCCATCCAGAATTTCCGGGACAAATTCTCTTTTGAGATGGGTGAAGCCGGGAGCTGCCTGAGTTATGAATCACCAGGTCATCTGCAGCCTTGTCTGCAGCAGAGAGCTGGAGGCTGGAGGGCAGAGCTGTTAGAAGAGCGGCGAGGTCTCTCTCCAAAGGTCCCCACCACCCCCGCCCAACTGGCTCCGTCTTCCCCTCATGCTCTTTGATGCTCTAAGATGGGAGAAATCAGATGGAGGACTTCAGGGGGGCCCTAGGCTCGGGGTCAGGGTTTTCAGGCTGGCATTGAGGGGGTTAAGGCAGTGACCAGATAGGAGCTTTTTGGCAGCAAAGCCCTCCTCAGCAGAAGGAAGGATATAGCTGTACGAACTGCCTGCTTAACAATGCCTCACATGTCCCCAGGGGCCCGCCTGCAAATAGATTTCATCTTGCTTTCTCTTGTACTTTTCAAAGCTTCCTGTTTTCTCACGGTCCTTTTGGACAGTTTACAGTCTCTCTCTCCCTCCCTCCCTCTCTCTCTTAGAGGAAAGGAACACCCTTCTTATGAAAAGAGAGAGGGAGAAGAATGTGAGGGAAGGCAGCTGAGCGGAGGCTGCTCTGCTCAGCGGCAGGCCGTGGCTCTCTGACCTTTTCTCTCAGAACAGGAAAACACAGGCTTCCTGGTGCATCTCGGTTCTGAAGCTCGCATCAGGCTGCTTGGGGCGAGGTAGTGTGCTTCTTCTGGCTTTGTGGCCTCTGGCCCCAGCCCAGGGGCTGCCCGCTGCCATCACCCTGTCTCCAGCGGCCACAGCCCACCTCTCCGCGGCTGCTGGCTGTCAGCATAGCCCCTGGGGCTGTTGGGAAGTGCCAGAGGGGCCTCCAGGCCCTGGACCAGGGAGGAAAAGGGCACCAGGAGGCCAGGACCAGGAGGTCTGGAGCAGACGGGACATCTGCCAGCTGTTCAAAAGGCAGACTGAGGACTGGGAGAGCCAGATAATGGGCTGCAATCTAGGACGAATCTTCTCTTTCCGTCCACACTTTCCAGGGCTGGGTCAGGCACAGCTGCTTGCACTTCTGTTGTGCCTCAAGTATCCCGGCAGGCATTCACGCAGAGGACTCCTCATTTGGTCCTTCCTTTAATATTCTCCTCATCTACAAAGGTTTTTCAATTTCTGACGTGTAAGAGAATCTACTATGTACACCAACAATGCTAGTAATAGGAACTTTATTTTGCTTTGACTATTTGCCAAGCCCTTTACACGAATTATCTCCTTTGATCTTCCCAACAACACATCTAAGAAACAATGATTATCATCAACATTTGACAGAAGAGACAAGGAGCACGTTCTCTGTCCTTCTGTGTTCTCACCTCATCTCTCTGCTCTGACATCTCACAGCCTAATGAGCCATGCAACCATTTTTAAAGGGTGGTTCCAAATATTTATTTCAGTTTTTTATTCAGTTTTGAGGCCACCTCCCTCTTAGAAAGCGGGTGGCTGGAGAAGCTGAGATGTGATGTCAGAGGCACACTGATGCTGCCCGTTAGCGTACGCGACAGTTCAAGCGGGGGGCACGCTGGTTGGGATGGACCACCTGCAAGATGGACTCAGTGAACTCACCACTGCGGCGGCTTCCTCCACCACTCCTATTTTAATCTCCGCAGACCTTGGCAGGAGATGACTCAGCAAGTCCTGACGTGGGCAAGCCCTTGGCTTCACGTCTCTGGGTGAAGGAGGCCTTGGCTTCCATGGCTCCATTCCTCTTCCCTCCAGCCCAGCTCCCCTCCCCTCCCGCAGCGCAGTGATTCTGCGCGGAGCTCACGTCTCGAACTCCACCCAAGAGCGCCGTCATTCACGGACCCCATCCTCTCTGTCTGGCCTCTCTTCACTCATGGTGTCCGAGAGGTGTCTCTCTGAGTTCCACAGACATGAAATATCTCTATATGCCACGTGAGGACCATCTTCTGGGAAAGATGCTCTGGATAAGGACCAAAGGGCTTTGTGGAGGGTCAGAGCTGAGAGGGGGGAGCTAGGAGCCTATCATCAAGATGGGAATGGAGCCCAGCTACCTCAGGTCCTGAGTGAGTTGGCTTTATTCTCCTGCCGTTGAGGATTTTACCTTGCAAATTAATCTGTATAGGAGTAGTGGGGGAAGGAAGAGAGCTGCTCTTTAGAACTTTGCATGAGGTAATGATATTTTCCTGACTCATTTGTTTATTTCCCCAGTCAAATACTTAGATACTTAATGAAGTGCACCGAGTGTGCAGCCCTGGGCTTGATATTGAGGCTGGCTACATAGAAAGGGAAGACAGCCCTTGCATCGGAGACTACTTGGGGTGCTGTTTAGAGCCCCAGACACCATTATGATGCACATCTCTGCGTGTGGAGTTGGGGTTAGATGGGTCCTTGGGGCAGGTGAATTGCAGAGGCTACACTGCCCCCAAAGTCTCAGCATGTGTGACAGCAACAAGCAGCTGATCATCACCACAATGGTAATAGTTACCATGCCTGTGGTGTAGGGTTGACTGAAGTGTCAGAAAATACCTAATGAAGAGACTTTATCCTTATGTCAAAACAAAAACAAAGTGCACTCTCACATTCTTCAAGGTTAGGCTAAAATTCCATCTCCTTTATGAAACCCTTTCAGACCGGCCCAACTTGTAATACCTCAGCAACCACAGATAATAGCTGAAAAAGAAGTTCCTCCCATTGTGGGAGCCAAGTGAAGAAGGTACCAATCGCTTCCTTTTGATGACCTCTCTCTGGCCTAGAGGACCATGAGACCCCATTCATGCTTGGACTAGTGCAGTAACCTAATCAATCTTTCAGCCTTCAGCTTCTTTCCCTCTACATCCCTTGTAACTAACCACTCACTGCTTTTTCTTTCATTAATTTTTCTGCTGCAAGATACCCCACCTCTTCACTCACTCAACGGATCCTTCCTGAGGACCTATCATGTGTCAAGCTGATATTAGGCAGGGAATACAATAAAAAGGCAGGCAGAGCCTTCAAGAATGTTTCAGCCTACTGGATGAGAACATATCTGAAACAAATGCTAAGGCTCGGGGACAACAAAAGCACCCCCCTCACCCAAGCAGCTACTTCTGGTTTACACCTTCTGCATCTGCACACATTGCCTTTGAAAAGAAGGTTCTATTTTTCCAAAAGAAGTTGGAGGATCACTGTTGTAGTCCATCATGTATTTGCACTTTGATGGAAATAGAAATGATGAAAAAGACCAAATGTGGTGGCTCGTGCCTGTAATCCTAGCACTCTGGGAGGATGAGGCGGGAGGATCACTTAAGGTCAGGAGTTCAAGACCAGCCTGAGTAAGAACAAGACCCCATTTTTACAAAAAATAGAAAAAATTAGCTGGGTTTGGTGGCGTGCACCTGTAGTCCCAGCTACTTGGCAGGCTGAGGCAGGAGGATTACTTGAGTCCAGGAGTTTGAGGCTAAGGTGAGCTGTAATGATGCCACTGCACTCTAGCTGGGGCGACAGAGTGAGACTCTCTCAAAAAAAAAGAAAAAGAGATGAATAAAACATATTTACTTTTTGTTTACTTGAGATAATACTCTCACTACTTCGAATTTCTACCCAGAGAAAAGACACACTCCTTCCTTAAATGTCTTTTTGTTCCTTTTAACTTTGAAATCCATCCTAATAATTAGCAAATTTAAAAATTGGAAAAGCATTGCTGGATACAGTGTAACAGAAGGGTTATATTGGGGGAGACACAGTATGGTGTGATGGTTGACCCTGTGGCCTCTGGTGTCCAATGGCCTCAGTTCATTATCCCAGCCCCAGCACCCACGAGTTGTGTGCCTTGGCCAAGAGATTTAAGCCCTCAGCTTGCCCATCTGTAAAATGGGGGTGGCAATCTGTCTCATAGGAATGGTACAAGAATTAAATAAGATATTCCATGGCAGACTTAGAACAATGCAGCCCATATTATAAATGCTCCATAAATATTAAACACATGATTATGCCCTTATTAGTAAAGGCAGCACTTTTAGTCACTGCTTGTCAGATCAGCATTTCTCCTTTCCCAAAGGTTTCATTCAAAAGAAGCTTTGCAAACATTGAGATGTTTATCTAAAGTTTAAAGATTCCTGTGTTCCAGGAACAAATCTTGTGAACACATCTTTACCTGCTCTGCCTCTGAGGCTGGGCAGAATCTTGCCCCTTCCTGACTTCCATGGAAACATTTTTTTTTTTTTTTTTGGAAACAGTTTAAAATGCCAAGGTCCAAACTAAGTAGAAATGGTGTGGACTGGAGCACTTCTGTCCTTCGTGGGCCTGGATGGGGGTTCACCCTGGCAGAGTAACCTGTGTTCTCCTCCTCTCTGTCTCCGACAGCTATGTGGGAAGGAATTCAACCGGATGCACAACCTGATGGGCCACATGCACCTGCACTCAGACAGCAAACCCTTCAAGTGCCTCTACTGCCCGAGCAAATTCACCCTGAAGGGGAACCTGACGCGCCACATGAAGGTCAAGCACGGCGTCATGGAGCGGGGCCTTCATTCCCAAGGTAATTGCTCGGCCTGGTGGAAGCCCCGTGCTGCCTATAAAGTCCAGTGGGGAATGAGTGGGAGCTGCGTTTGGCTGTATGGGGCATTGCTTTGGGAGGGAGGTTAGTCTTATCGAAAAGGGGAGCATAATTTTCCAGACCACAGCAGAGTAGCAGGAAGAGATTTATAATGCTGCTAGAAGAAATATAATGCTGATGTCTGCAGGAAGCAAGTAAAAGTGAATTAGAGTAAATTGGAACATAATGATAGTGATGCCAGCCGGTACCATTTTTGGTTCCTTTGTTCCAGACACTGCCTCAGATGCCTTATCTCCCTTAATCTTCATGGCAACTCCAGGCTGGAGGGACTTCGGTTGTCTGTCTTTTACAGACGGGGGAATTGAGGTTTCAAGAGATTAATTTTCCCAGAGGTGCTCAGCTGAAAAGTGGCAGAGTCAGGATATGAACCCAAACCTTTCTGACTCTATAGCCTTTATTGAGTGCACTTCATCACATTGCTGTTAAAGGGCATGTGATTTTTCTTTCCTTTTTAGACAACAGGTCTGCAAGCTCTGCTGCTAGCAGAAGTGTGTTGTAGCAGGCTAGGTCTCCCCTACCCATTCACGCCCAGACGCACCCCAGGATGATTTTCCTGCTCGGGCGGGTAGAGAGCAGGGGCTTACGTCTCCCCAGCTGAGTCCCAACTGAACTATTGAAAAGGTCTCTCCTCTTTTACCTTCTCAGTCCCAGGGCCCTTGGCAGTGAAGAGAGTATGTTCCAGATCTCCTGAATTCAGCAGGGTTGCTCCTTAGTCACTTCACCAGTACTGCAATAAACAGGCAATAGATGCACCTCTGTGCAACACAGTGAGCTACACACAGTGGCAGATATGAGGGGAACGAGACTACCTTTCCCTCTAGAAGGTCTGTGGGGGGAGAGAGAAGACAGTTTTACACATAATTTACAAAATCATATTAACTGCTATGATCCCATGAAAGACACTGTGTCATTCTCACAGGCCTAGAGGTATGACATAAACTGCTCAAGGTCAAATAGCAAGTCTGAAGGCAGAACTGGGATTCCAACTCAAGAATTTCTAAAGCGAGCCAGTGCTCACTACCCTAGGCAAAAATACGGGGTGACGTGTTTGCGTGTGCTACTTCTCCCACTCCCTTACCAAAGAGGGAGTCAAATGGGCCCACATATTCGGAAATCAGATACACACATGCACATACAGCAGAAAACAAAATGCTTGTAGTTTTCAGGTTTTCACAGCACTCACTGAGTTTATGGTGACTCCTGGGTCATCACAAAACAAGGGCTGGACTTTATGCAAAGGCCCTGAAAAAATTCTTGTTAAAAAAAAAGCAATTTTTTTCCTGAGAACGTTTTTCTCCTGAATTATTCATTGAATCTCTAGTTGCCTGAGCCACTTCCCAAGTGAGGCTTGGATTTTTCCAGAAGAAGTGAAGTGTGCTCAGTCTTCAGGACAGTAGACATACAAGGCAATGAGGAGAAAACGCTCCATCTCAAAGCCTGGCCTGGTCACCGGAATTGACGCTCAGATCCTAAAAGGCACCAAATGTCTCTGTCATTCTGGAAAAATAAAGAGCATCACGATATGTCAGAAGGTTGCTTTGAAAGTTTTTAACAGACTTTCAATAATTTTAATGTTTTCATCTACAAATGGTGTTAGCATTTTTTTTCACTCTAGTTTTCAAAATGGCTCAAAAAAATCATTAAAAAGGTCCTCCCTCTCCCCTGACAAGATTAAAGATATAAACGGCTTTGTTGTCTGACGATACCATAAAGTCTGCAAAGTTGGGCATCAGCGCCCCTACTTTTCCTTTGCACACCCTCACCCCAGAAGCCTGGTCGGGCTGCACCCCAGGGCCCTCCCTTCCTGTTTTTCCTCTTTAGCATCCCTGACTGTTCCTCAGGACCTCACAGATGCGATCAAATGAAACACTACCACACCAAAAAGCCCAGCCCTAGAGGCCCTCGAACTGAAACAAACACTGAGGCCCCCCAAATCACCGTGCCCAACAGCAGGGACTTTATGGGCTCCCCGGAGGACCTCTGTATGCCCTCTCTGCTCTGTCAGTGCACAGAGAGCACAGTCATGGGCGGCCTCCGCAGCCCCAGACGGAATCTGTTTTCTTCAAGATGAAAATACCTTTATTATTGCTTTACTTTTTTCTTGTGGAAAAATATATGCTCACTGTAAAAAATAAAATAGAAATACATTAGAAGTTATTACTAAAAGAAAATGTTCATCAATTTTGAGGTTTTGGCATACATCCTTCCAGACATTTTTTGATAGAGATAGCTAGCTAGCTAGCTAAACTTGGGTCTGCATGATAAAAATATATACATACATAATACGTATATATGTTTTTTACTTAAAATATATTGAGAATAGCTTTTTATGATCATTAGTAGGTCTCTGCATCACCTACACATGGTTCATTGTATGGCTATACCATTATTTATTTAGTCGAACCTCTATTGTTAAATACAAAACTTGTTTTCACAGCTTCACTATAATTAAAAATGTGGTGAGGCCGGGCGCGGTGGCTCACGCTTGTAATCCTAGTACTCTGGGAGGCCGAGGCGGGTAGATCGCTCAAGGTCAGGAGTTCGAGACCAGCCTGAGCAAGAGCGAGACCCCGTCTCTACTAAAAAATAGAAAGAAATGATCTGGACAACTAAAAAAATATATATATAGAAAACATTAGCAAGGCATGGTGAAGCATACCTGTAGTCCCAGCTACTCTAGAAGGATCGCTTGAGCCCAGGAGTCTGAGGCTGCTGTGAACTCACTCTAGCCGGGGCAACAAAGCGAGACTGTCTCAAAAAAAAAAAAAATGTGGTGATAAGCATCCTTACACATAAGTTTTGTGCACCTGCCTGCCTATTTTTTACAGTTTAAATTCTCAGTAGCATAATTGCTAAATCAGAGCTTATTTTTAAAGCTTTTGGTGCATGTTGCCAAATTCACCTTAAAGGGGTTATACCGATTTAGACAGTGTCTGTGACAAGCCTCCCATGTCCGCACCCTTCCTGGGAGTGATTATTTTTAAAATGTACAGTCAGAATACGTACGCCGGCACTGGGTCCGCACCCCACCCAGGTCCCACTGCCCTGAATTCTCGCTCTGCTCCGCTCCGCCAGGTTTGGGAAGGGGGCGGATCGCCCTGGCGCAGACGGCCGGTGTCCTGCGCAGTCTGGAGCAGGAGGAACCCTTCGACCTGTCTCAGAAGCGCGGGGCCAAGGGCCGGGTGTTCCAGTCGGACGGGGAGAGCGCCAGGGGCAGCCCCTGCCACGAGGACGACGACGAAGACAACTGCTACGAGGTGGAGCCCTACAGCCCTGGCCTGGGCCCCCACAGACAGCAGCGCTGCGCGCCCCAGGATCTGTGCACCAAGCCTGAGCAGGCCCCCGGGGCGCAGGGGGCAGCCTTCAAGGAGGAGGAGGAGGAGGACCTGCCCAGAGAAGAGTGGGAGAAGAGGAGCAAGGGCGACCGTGGGGTGGAGGGTTGCGCCAGCAGGGACGAGAGTCTCAGCCTCAGGGCTCTTCAGAGCACCCCGCGGGGCCCCTCTTTTTCTGATTACTTATACTTCAAGCACAGAGATGGGAGTTTAAAAGAATTACTGGAGAGGAAAATGGAAAAACAATCAGTGCTTTTAGGTATCTAAGTGAACAGCTTTAAGATTACATTTGGAAAATGAGAGCTAGGCAGTTCAAATATAGCTTTCTGCATGAACTGTCATTTGCTGGGGGCTGGCGGGTAGTGCCAATCTTCACAAATGGCTCAGACTAAATGAGCAGGGACCATCCTAGGCAATGCAAATGCTTCTCAGGTCATTCACTGGGCCCTTGCTACTGCTAACACACATGCAGGGGCTTCTGCGGTGTCATTTTATGGAGTATAAAGAACTGTGCATAGTCTTCTAGATATCTCATTGTAAGCTGATGCTGAGGTGCTTTACAAATTCTATTTTCCTTTGACTAATATGCAATACATGATAAATTTCTAGTTGCAAAAAATGGTGCTTGCCTATTTACCTATTAATAACTATTTAGTTGAATTAGTGAAAGCGATAATATTTTTCCTGATAGATGAAAATATTAGTAGTTGTATATATAAAAATAGCTTTTATTAAATAACCAAAAATACCAGAAATGACCCAGGAAGATGAGCTATTAAAGAGGATGTTTTCAAGTAGTTGCTGTAGTTAGATAAAATTTCAGGAGAAGATGAATAATTTTGACTTCTGGAATACCAGCCATATTTAGATTCCACCTGGAATACTTAGATTCTCTTGTTCTGCTTCAGCTACCCTCGTGGGGTGAGGCATTTGGAGCGTATTTTCAGATGCCCCGACAGTTCTCAGGGGCCCTGGCTCCCCAGATCACCCCCGTGTCCCGAGCAGAGCTCCCCCCCAGAGACCATGGTCACCAGGCTCTGAAGCCTCATGTCCCATAAGACAGCTGCAAGAAGTGTTGTCACCTGTGAGCAGGGCATCACTCCTCAGTGCTGGAGCTAAGGAGGTGACCTCGAGGAATTCTCCCTGAAATCTCAGCTCTGACTTATTCGGAGTGTTGGAAGAATCATCAGCTAATCGCTGGTAAGGAAGCCTCTGGGCTGTGTTCTCAGTGCTGACTGTACATTACAATCAACTGGGGAAGCCTTTTAAAAAATACTAAGACCAAGGCCTCACCCCCTGAGATCCTGATTTAATTGGTCTGGAGTGGAGCCCCAGGAGTCCTAGTCTCCAGATTGCCCCAGGTGATTCTTATGTGCAGCCACTGCTGAGAAAGATCGACTAGGCTGAAATAGCACTCACCTGGTCCTGTGGCTTCCAGAGCTCCTCCCACCAACTCCGTAAATATTCCTGTTCCCGGCTTCAAACTTGTTAAGGTAAGAACAGGAGACCACACAATCATACTGCTGATTTAGGCCCTCTTGCCTATTCTGTAAGAGCCTCACAAAAGGACCCACATGCACGCGTGCGCACGCGCGCGCGCGCACACACACACACACACACACACACACACACACACACACACTCTGAATAGATACACACGTTTTGCAATAGAAGATGATGCCTGTGATGTTTATGGTCACCTCATATGTTGAAAAATGCACGGCTGGCCTATGGTGACTGATTATTTCCTCCCAGATGCTGCACCTTGATTCCAGTGAGCAATGATAACTAAAAGGGTGTGTTGGTCCCTGCAAGGAGGCCTTAGCAATGACCCTGAGAAGAGCGACAATGACAAGGTGTTGCATATGTGACCGACCGTGAGCAGTGACCCTTTGGTACTGTCTGGGTTTATGTAACAACTGCCTTTTTCTTGGTAGTTTCAACTCCTATCTGTAGAGCTAGGTACTGTTTGTTATTTTGCTTCCTCTTTTCCCAAACTTCCAGTACAGTTCTTTAGAGACGTGTCCTTCTCCAGCTGCTGGGCGCCGCCTTTTCTGTGGGCCTAGGTGCTGCCCCGTTGGCCTCATCCTTCACCATGTGCTTGTCAGTCCCTGACCCATTTCTCCCATCACCTTGCCTCAAGCTCCTTCCTTCAGCTTCACCGCTACCCCCAAGTGCTACAGCTACCAAGCCCTGAGGTCAGAGCACCTGCAAAAGGGATGGAGAAGAGTCAGCTACCAAGCCCTGAGGTCAGAGCACCTGCAAAAGGGATGGAGAAGAGAAGATGTAGGTTTCTGTGGTTACAATCATGACTCTGGGCCAAGAGTTCCAATTCCTTAGAAGGGCAAGTTCCCTTCCATTCATGATTCATTTAGCTCATCAGTGCCTCTGCTGAAGGTGCTCTGGAGGCTGGCAGAGGAGTCTGTGGGGCCTTCAGCTCTGAGGGTCCAGCTACATATTTATTCATAGAGCAGCCATGTGTTGAGGGCCTGCTGGGTGCCGTGCTGACCACACATGCTGCGGACTGCCAGCTGGGACCGAGTGTGCCTGGCTGGAATAGGAACCAGGGAGATCTAGAGTAGCAGGCTCTAGTCCTTTCCAACCAAAACAAATCACGGGAGAATGTTTGAGGAACCAGCTAATGTTGAGATGGAGAGAGTGCGGTCTAGAACGGTGGTTTTCCAACTGTGTTTTGAGGAGCCGGAGGTCGCCCTTAGGCCCCCGAAGGGCTGCTGAGGGGTGAGGGGAGAAACACTCAGTGCCCCATGCTCACTTCTCTCAGAGCGGCTCAAGTTTCGTCTGTGTTGAATGTTAGCATTCCAAGTCACATTTTATTTGGAGGGAAGAAAAAAGGTAGGTCTAGGAGAAGTAACAAAAATTTATTATGGAGTGTATTCCAAGGCCTGTTTTTAGTTTTTGACTCTGTGTAGGAGAGACTTAATTAGATCTAACCTGATGGTTAATACGGCACTGACCTTCCGAGAACCAAGGCTAAAACCTTGGTTTTGTATGTTGAGTGACCAACATCCTGGTTTGCCTGGGACAGAACTTATTTAGACCTGTTGTCCCAAGGGTAATTACTAATAATGTCACCTTTATTCTCAAAAGTATCCCAGTTTGGGTGAGAAATGACATGGACACCCTGTGCATGAGCACAGAGCTGAGGGAGGGGTTGGCCAACCTTGCCTAACGAGGAAAACTGCAAGGGGAGCCATGGGGCCATCTCAGAAAACTGAGGGATCAAGCCTTCCAAGGTTACAGCACACCAAGGCCAGGACAGCATGACACTCATCACTCTGTGACACCCTGAAAATAGGTCGCTACCAAATGCTTTCCAGGCTTTTGACCACTTTGAATCAGCCAATGGACCAGCCAAGTGGCATATTTTTCTTTTATCCTTTTTATTCATTCCTTTGATTACCACTCTTGTTGCCTTTCAATTCCTCTTTTATTCTTTCTTTTCAAAAATTTGACTCAGCATTGGCCATGAGACTGAGGCTGATCTTTCACAAACCCATGAGAGTAAATTTTACATTTGTATATGAGTAGTTGCATGAGAAAGCTCAGTGTGCATACTGTATTTATTAAGCCCTGAAGGCATTTAATAAAATATTAACATTGTGTTTTGAATTATGATCTCTGTCTGCTTTTCTGGAACAAAATGTAACAGAGCTAACATTGAAAATCCTTTGCATATTTGGACAACATTACACCAAATGTTGATTTTGTACAGAACTCTGGCTTGCTATTTAAAAACTAAAACTCCAAGTATACAGCAGCCCAAGTTGTGAATATTGCTTTCTGCTTCAGTGAAAAAGCAGTTTACCTGAAAATAGCATGTAACCTATATTTTGTTAATTTAAGCAAATAAAGACACGTTGAAAAGCTGAGTTAATTATTTGCAAATACGTGAAATTTTGCAAGGAGGCTGCTGTTGTCAACATCTCACTCTACCATGATAGCCTCTGCCAGGGTGGTTCCTAGTGGTTGGCTCCTCAGCCCCAGGGATACAAGTGTGTTGAATCCTCCGTCCCTCGGTGCTGCAGTCCATTTGCAGGCAAGTGACATCTTCCTCATCCTGTTCCTCTTTTCTATTTAGAAAAATTTGTTCTGGAAGTGTGTCATAGACCAATGGGAGGTGAGAGGCAGGATGATCTCATTAACATTCTTTGTAAAGTAAAGTTCAACCAAGAGGCAATAGAGTCCTGAGCAAGAGCACAAATTCTGGTCCAAGCCTACATGAGTTGAGAGCCCAGCTCTCCCACTTCCAGTCTTTGGGACCCAAGACCAGTTTATGAACCTCTTTGTGCCTCATTTCCTTATCTGTAAAATGGGACAAGGAACTGTACCTTCCTCACTGGGTTGTTGGGTGGGTTAAATGACCTAATATATGCAAAACACTTGGAATGTGCCTGGCTCACAGTTTATGCCATGTAAGAATAAGGCATTATTATTATCAGCAACGTAACCAGAAAACTGAGCACTCAGTTTTTCCTCCTCAACAAAAAACTGATGAGGCTGTGTCAGCATGGGAGATTGTCCATTTCTGAGGAGCTTCCCTTTAAGACAACAGTCAAATTGCAACACGTGTTGAACACTGTTATATGCCAAGCACTGTGCCAGGTGATTTACACACTCCATCCCTTTTGAGCCTCACACAACCCTGGGGGCAAACATTATCCCCATTTTACAAATGGATAAATGGAAGCTCAGGAGAGTGAAATAACTTGCCCCAAATTACTTAGTGAGTTTCTTCTTGGCCTTCAAAGCATATAGTATGTAGCAGGTTAGGTTCTCTGGAAGCAGATGCTGAGAAAAATTTGGATGCAAGATATCTATTAAGGTTTAACACCAGTGAAAAGAAGGGAGTGGAAAAGAAGATTGAGCAGAGAGGGAAACCGACCTGTAGTGCAGCCCCAACAAAGCCTCAGCCAGCCTTCCTGCAGCTCTGGGGCAAAGCTTGTCCCAGAAACATCCAGGCCTTTACACCCCCAGCCTTGCTCAGTCACCAGATGTGGACTTCCCCAGGAAGGGCATGACTCTCTGCAGCTGGGGCAGACTCTGAAGGGGCTGGCAGCTGGAGGCTGTCTGCTGATTGCGCTCCCCATAGCTCCGGAGCAAGTGCTTCCTTGAAAAGAGACCAGCTGATTCATCTCTGCATCACCCCAGTCCACTGCTTCATGAGCATTCATGACACATCTCCTGCAGGTTCCAGCAGTCCTCTCTTCCTGATGGAAAACTTAGAAGAAGAAGGTGAGGACAAACTCCAGCCCCCACAGCTGCAATGAGTCTAGGAACCAAAACCAATACTCATTTTCTCTTCCTCCATTACCCATTCTAGATTCTGCTTACCATCAGATATCACCTCTGCCAGTCTCAGTGGCTTTCCTGGTGATTTTACCCAAATCCTCATCCCCAAAGAGTCTGAGCCCTAGTCACCATGCTGCCATGAACTGAATATTTGTGTCCTGCTGAAATTCATATGTTGAAACCACAATGCCCAATGTGATGGTGTTTAGAGGTGGGGTCTTTGGGAAGTAATTAGGTTTAGATGAGGCCATGAGGGTGGGGCCCTCATGATGTGAGCAGTGCCCTTAGAATGACAGGAGGAGACTAGGTGGTCTCTCTCTCTCTGCCGTATAAGGATACAGCAAGAAGGCAGCTGTCCGCAAACCAGGAAGAGAGTCCTCACCAGACACCAAATCTGCCTGCACTTTGAGCTTGCACTTCCCAGCCTCCAGAACTGTGAGAAAGAGATGTTTGTCATTTTAGCCACCCAGTCTATGGTATTTTGTTATAGCAGCCCAGACTGACTAAGACACATGCCCTTTGCAGAATAGAGTTGCTGTACCCATTCGTTTACAATCACAATAGGCAAGGAAGGACCAAAAGAAGCCCAAGTGGGTCGCCTGGGTTCCATACTATTCCTTCCTGAACCATTGTGTAACAACAGCCCTACTTCATCCTGGTGATCAGATCAATTACCTGTGCCAAGATAATGACTCCTCCTCTTGTCTTCTGGTCCCTGGAGACAGGAAACAAAAGTGCTCAGGTGGTAGCCACAGCTT